GAGAATGTACCCCAGGCAGGACCTCCTTGGAGCCTCATGGATTTCCAGCCATCATCCTGAACTTCAAAACACATGAGGTGACAAGCCACCACTGTTCTCTATTTCTATTCCTCTGTATTTGTTAATACCGATATAATCAAACATCCACAAGGAACAGGGGACAGTGGTTTAGCGTGTAACCTCTGAAGCTCCTGCCAGCGGGTTTGTGGATGTACAGATGGCGGTGTGACCTTGTGCAGAATACTCAACTTCAGTTTTCTCATCTCTAAAATGGGAGTTATCCCCTTCAGTAGATGAATGGATTAAAAAATGTGGCATATATCCACAATAGAATTTTACTCAGCAATAAAAGAGAATAAAAATCAAAGCATTTGCAGGTAAATGGATGCAGTCAGAGAAGATAATGCTGAGTGAAGTTAGCCAATCCCCAAAAGCAAATGGCAAATGTTTTCTCTGATATAAGGTGACTGACTCATAGTAGGGTAGGGAGAGGGAACATAGGAGGAATAGACAAACTCTAGATAGGGCAGAGGGATGGGTGGGGAAGGGAGAGGGCAGGGGGTTAGCAAGGAAGGTGGAATGTGATGGACATCATTATCCAAAGTATATGTATCAAAACACGAATTGGTGTGAACATACTTTATATACAGAGATATGAAAAATTATGTTCTACATGTGTAATAAGAATAGTGATGCATTTCACTGTCATGTATTTAAAAAATAAAAGCAATTTAAAAAGAAAGAAAATAATTAAAATGGTAGTTATCATAGTAAGCTCTATCATAGGCTTGCCATGAGAATTAAATAGATTAATATATTTCATGCAGAGTCATACATGGGATACACAAAGCACTAGAAAGTGGTGTCTGCTCTCATCATTATCAGCATTACAGTTATCATTGTTATTACAGGCAATGGGTCACATTATCCCACCTATCTCCTGCTTAGCTTGGCTTTTCACCAGAGGTGCCCAGGAGCTTATTCACCTGGCCTGGAATAAGATCTTGAGCTAAACCTAGCAGCTCTGTTTCAAAGATTTATTTGCTTTGTTGTCATCGTGGAGATATTATAGGCAGAGGCACAGTCCTCACTCTGGCCCAAGGATCTCCCTGACTTTCTCATCCACCAGGGAACACTCACCTCCCACCTACTCTGGGCAACTGGGAACATAGGGTTAGGACCACAGGACTCGCCACATTCTGGTTCCATCTAGACCAGCAGCTTTTCTGTCAGCTGCAATTCCAGGGTCTTCTCTGCCTCCTGCAGTGACTTTCATTTTCCTTCCCTTTAATCCAAGCTTCATTTTTCCTTCATTACTGTTACAGCAGGGGAAAGAAACTGCTTAGTACCCTATCTCCATGTTACTCTCACCTCCTGATGAAGCTGGGACCCACCTCTACCTCATGATGCAATTGTGAGAATCCAGTAATGTACATTTTTTAAAAGAAACGTGTATTTGTTTCATGCAATTGTTACTTAGCTTCCACTGCAACAATATATTTGCCTCTGTCGTATTTGCTGGGGAATGGAAGGCTATGTTTTCATTTCTGTCTCCTTGAACACCTAGCAGTGAGTGTCATACACATATTAGGACTTTCATCCATTCATTTGAAAAACACTGAGCTTAGTAAACCTATCAGACCACCCTGTCCTGGGCTTGCAGTTTGCTGTAGTGAACAGTCAATCCCTGCTTTGTTTGAGGAGTTTGCTAAACTGGTCTTTTCAATTGCGCTCACCCTGAATTCATCTTGCAGAGGTAGCTATATATGCAGTTCATCTTACCTCCAATAGTGCCAGGAAGTTTCCCTGGCATGCAGCCTATGCAGCCTGTCTTACTTGTCTGACAGAAAAATATTCTATGGTACCTGAGATGGGGCTAGTGGCATGTGGTTGTGAGTATTCCAACACCCATTTGGGGCATGTTCCAAAGATGTGTGTTTTGTTTAAGCATCTATATTATCCATTAGCTTGTGAGCCCTGGAAAGCAGTAATTATTTATTTTGCATTTTTGTATTTCCCTTTGCCTTGCAGAAATAGCTCAGTGCCTGAATTTAGCAGATGCTCAATAACTTAAGTATTAGAAGGATAAAAGAGTGGAGAAAATGGTAACATTTTTTAAAAAGACTTTTTGTATTTTTTAGTTGTAGATAGACACAGTATCTTTTATTTTATCCATTTTTATGTAGTGCTGAGGATTGAACCCAGTGCCTCACACATGCTAGGCAAGTGCATTACCACTGAACCACCACCCCAGCCCAGGATAGTTACATTTTTTGACTGGTGGCTATAACAAATATTTCAAAAAATATATATATATTGTTTTTGTTTTTCCTGGTTTTCTTTTTTTTCATTTTAGCAAGTTCTAAGTAAGGGCCTACCACCTGCTATTATTAGACAGGCTAACTAATATCCAGTCAGAGCATACTGCCTCACCTTGAGTATACAATGTTCCATTCTGTTTTTCTCTTTTATGTGATTTATAACTTAAGAAGCCTTGGGGCAAATGGGAAATGCATTGTGAAGTTATGGGAACGATCCACTTTGAACATTAGCCAGCACTTGTCAAACAGCTGAATTTGATATTTGTCTATTAAATCCAGATCTTTGGGTTTTCCAAACTTTCCTCTTTCAATGTGAATTAAATTAAACCTTGAGCATTAAGAGGAAAAAAATGAGAAGTAGCCAGTTTGTCCCAGTAGGGGCAAGATGTCGGTTTCTGGAATAACTGTTTATTCTATATTTCTGTTTAATTGGTTGGAAAATTCACCTAGTAAGTTAGTCTTGTAACCCATCTCTTTTGCATAAATTCTGGCAAATCTGCTTAAGAAAAAAAGTGCTTTAAATTGCAGTGTTTAGTGACATAGCTGCAAGTTCTAGCAGGTTTCCTGCATAATACAGTAACATTGCTATTATATTAGAAATTCAAATGCACCTTAAATAACTGGATTAGCCCTTGTAACTAACTTGGTTACATAGGAATCTTAGTTTCTATTGTTGAACACCACAAAAGTGACTTTATGAATACTATATTAATATAAAAAGGCAAGGACATTGAATGAGCCTAATCCCTAATCTGAAATTGCTTCAGAAATCCCTTTGGTAAAAAATACTCAAAGAATCATGGGCTAGGATGATGGCTCAGTGGTAGAGTATTTGCCTAGGATGTGTGAGGCACTGGGTTCGATTCTCAGTACCACATCTAAATAAATAAATTAAAACAAAAGTCCTCAACAACTAAAAAAAAAAAAAAAACCCTCAAAGAATCAATTATAACTCAAAGAATTAGACAGTATTTTACTATTAACCACATTACATTTATTTGAAAGCCAAAACAACATGAGCAAATATTTAAAAACACATGCATTTTAGAAAAACGGCTTCTGTTTGTTTTTTAGTCCATCTGATTAATTTTACACAATGAAATGTCATTAAGTAATGATAATGTGAACTGTATGTTAAAAACATGATGTATAACATTGTTTTAGAGAAAGAGACATTGTAACTGAAAAAGATATGTTAATACCATAAAACCTTAAACAGAAAGTAAAACATGTTATATTTTATACTATTAATATGTTGCAGGTCTTTGAATACTGAGAAGTAACAGTAAAAAATTCACATACATAAACTTTCTGAATAAGATTTGTCTGGTTTTCTATATAAAATGTCAGACCTCATTACAGAAAACACTTTTCACTTATCTGTTTAGGATCATAATTTCATTTTCAAATATAAGGCAATTATTATTTTAGAAAGCAGCAGCTCTTGCAATTTTTTAAAAAAGCTCTTAGCAGCATGTAAAAATGAATATTACAAATAAGTAAGTAAAACAACTTTTACCATTAAAATATTAGTATAATTTTAAAATGAGACCCCTTTCTTTCATTGCAAAAAGAATGAGGGCTAAGGCTTTCATCTCAAAACACTCCATCTGAGAATACTCAGGTTTGCTTTAGCTAATATGTCATAGAGGAATGCATCCCATTCTATCACTGGCTGTGTTGAAAGAACACCGTCCATACCCAGGTAGGAAGTGGATAGGCAACAGAGTCAAGTCAGTCCATGTATTCATTTAAACACCCTATTTTTTTGTTGTTGTTGTTTTGTTTTTGTTTTTGTTTTTGTTTTGTTTTTGTACCCTAGCCTTTTTTTCATGTTTTATTTGAAAGAGGGGCTCTCCAAGTTGCTAGGGCCTTGGTAAGTTGCTGAGGTTGATCTTGGACTTGAAATCCTCCTGCCTTGGCCTCCCAAGTGGCTGGGATTACAGGTGTGTACTGCTGTGCCCTGCCCCACCCTGCTTTTAATTACAAAGAAGCACAAGGGATGCTTTGACTCTGTCAGTCTGGCATAATCCTTATTGATAACTTATAGACCGTGCAGAACTACCATGATGGCTATGTTTCACTATTTTCTTCATGTAAAGATTTATGCAATATGTAAATAAAAAGCAGCAAAGCAGTATTAAGCAGCATCAGGATTTGTAGCTTGAACTTTTATAATCTGCTACACAAAATGTTACATTTAAAAATTGAAAAAGTATCTACATTTCTTGCCATTGGAGCAGTTTTATGGTCACCTGGGATTTTGAAAGGAAAAAAAAAGTCATTTATTTTGTATCACATCCAGTGAGATAAAGAGATTCAACAGGCAATATTTGAGATTCATGTGTAAGGCATTGGTGACCAACAGACATTCTACATTAAATGTGCAAATTATTATGTATAGATGTATTGAATGCAGGGTTCCTGTAAGGACATTAATGTCCCTAGGATAATGAGATCTTGGTTAGCTGTGGTCCTGGTCAGCTGTTTTCCTGATAGTCTGATCCTGCCTTTAGATATACACAGCTTCTGATTGTCTATGTCCAGGAATAAAAAAAAAATAGCATGTAATATATAAAAATTATAATAAAAAAGAATACATGTTTTATTTTGTAATAAAATTGAATTTCTTGCTGAAATTTTTATAAACTTGGAAGAATGGGCTTCTTTAGTTTGTTTGTTTTGGGGGGGATTTTTGGTACCAGGCATTGCATCCAGGGGGGGCATTCAACCACTGAGCCACATCCCCAGCTATTGCTTATATTTTATTTAGAGACAGGGTCTTGCTGAGTTGCTTAGGGCCTCACGGAATTGCTTAGGCAGGCTTTGGACTCAAGATCCTCTGCCTCAGCCTCCTGAGCCACTGGGATTACAGGCATGTACCACTGTGCCTGGCCAGAATGAGGTTTGAATACTGGTGCCCAAGTAAAAATTTCCTTTTACAATACAATCTAATATTTCTGTCTGTCTACCCTTTGGTCTTTACAGATGAAGTATATAATTATTTTTCCCAGGAATCAAGCTTGCCTCCTACTAAAGGACATATTAATGGAGAGAAGTAAGGGGAAAAGGTTAGAGATAGAAGCCAGGTCCCAACAGCAGTCTGTCATTTCGCTACCTATAGGTATGGGAACTCTGGATTCATGTTCCCACATCCCAGGGCCACAGCATTAAAAAGCTTGTTTGTATGTGCTTCCTTGGTAAATGGTTGTTGCTTCTCAGAAGGAATTCCCAGGCCACCGGGTAGACAGATTCTGAGCTGAAGCACATGTTCTGACTGTGGTCTTGGACTCACACTCTCAGTCTGGCTGTCAAAGCTTACCCCCAATACAAAGAATCTGCAAAGCAGAGACATATACTTGCAAATAATTGAGGGTTAACTGTAAGCCTAAGGCAGCTTTTTCCATTTTTTTGCATTAACCATAATTGATGATTGGCTGTGTCTCTCTATCTTGATGAGCGTTGTGGTGGAGACCTTTCAAAGTACATGAAGTCCTGAAATTGGAAAAAGAATCACATGTTGACAGATGGATAAGTACATAGATAATCACATAAAATATGTACATTACTATCCTTCATAATTTACTAGGGAACTCTCCCATTCCTGTTACAATAAATACATCTAATGAAATCTTTATGAAGAGGAACTTTATGTTAACAGCAGCAATTAAAAATTTGGAAATGTGGTAGACAATAAGCTTTCCATTTCCAGTAGTGATTAACAAAACTTTATCATTAGAAGGAGGAAAAACTTAATAAATCTGAGGATGGTACAACACCAGGAGTAGACTGACAGGCACTGAGAACTGGGAAAAGGGCATTGGCTTGAAGCTAATTTCACTAAAAATCCCAGAATGTATACTATGAAGTAGTGAGAATGATAAATAATACGAAATGATGTAAAATCCATTGAATGCCTAATATCTTCTAAGCACTCTCCTGACTACTTTACTTGTGTGATAGCTAATATCCACACCCTTAAAAATGTAAGTCTTTTATCTCTATTTATACACGAGGAAACTGAGGATCTCAAATGCTAAATGCTTTGCAAAATATGTACCTAGAATGTGGCACAGACATGACATAATTCTTGAAACACTGGCCAGAAAATTAGACAAAAGAAATTAAAGGGATACAGATAGGAAAAGAAGAACTCAAATTAACACTATTTTCTGATGATATGATTCTGTATCTACAAGACCCAAAATATTCCACCAGAAAACTTTTAGAACTAGTAAATGAATTCAGCAAAGCAGCATATAAAATCAGCACCCATAAATTAAAGGCATTTCTGTATATCAATGAGAAATCCTCTGAAAGGATTTCTACACCATTTACGATAGAATAAAAAAATAAAATAAAATAAAATACTCGGGAATCAATTTAACTAAAGAGGTGAAAGATCTTTACAATGGAAACTACAGAATGCTAAAGAAAGAAATTTAAAAGGACGTAGAGATGGAAAGATCTACCTTGTTCTTGAATAGGAAGAATTAATATTGTCAAAATGACCATACTACCAAAAACACTATACAGATTTAATGCAATTTCAATCAAAATCCCAATGACATTCTTCATAGAAATAGAAAAAGTAGTCATGAAATTCATCTGGAAAAATTAGAGACTCAGAATAGCTAAAGCAATCCTTAGCAGGAAAAATGAACCAGGAGGCATCACTATACCAGACCTTAAACTATAGTAACAAAAACAGCACTATATTGGTACCAAAATAGATTTATAGACCAATGATACAGAATAAAGGACACACAGACTAACCCACATAGTTACAGTTATCTTATATTAGACAAAGGTGCCAAAAACGTACATTGGAGAAAAGACAGCCTCTTCAACAAATTGTGCTGGGAAAACTAGAAATCCATATGCTACAAAATGAAATTAAACCTCTCTCTCTCACCATGCACAAAACTCAATTCAAAGTGGATCAAGGACCTAGGAATTAAACCAGAATCACTGCACCTATTAGAAGAAAAAGTAGGACCAAATCTCCATCATGTTAGAGTAGGCCCTGACTTCCTTTATAATACTTCCATAGCACAAGAATTAAAATCAAGAATCAATAAATGGGATAGATTCACACTAAAAAGCTTCTTCTTGGCAAAAGAAACAATCAGTAAGGTGAATAGAGAGCCTACATCTTGGTAGCAAATCTTTACCCCTCACACATCAGATGGAGCACTAATCTCTAGGATATATAAAGAACTCAAAAATCCTAATACCAAAACAACAAATAACCTAATCAATAAATAGGCCAAAGAACTGAACAGACACTTTTCAGAAGATGATATACAATCAATCAACAAATATATGAAAAAATATATTTTCTCAGCAATTAGAGAAATGTAAATCAAACTACTCTAAGATTTTATCTCACTCCAGTCAGAATGGCAGCTATTACGAATACAAACAACAATATGTATTGGCGAGGATGTGGGAAAAAAAGGCACATTCATACATTGCTGGTGGGACTGCAAATTGGTGCAGCCAATATGGAAAGCAGTATGGAGAATCCTTGGAAAAATGGGAATAGAACCTCTGTTTGACCCAGCTATCCCATTCCTGGGTCTATACACAAGGGACTTAAAAAACAAGCATACTACAGGGACACAACCACATCAATGTTTATAGCAACACAATTCATAACAGCTAAACTGTGGAAGCAAACTAGATGCCCTTCAGTAGATGAATGCATAAAGAAAATGTGGTGTATATACACAATTCAACATTAAAAGAGAATAAAATCATGGCATTTGCAGGTAAATGGATGGTGTTGGAGAATATAATGCTAAGTGAAGTTAGCCAAACCCAAAAAACCAAATGCTGAATGTTTTCTCTGATTTAAGGATGCTGATTCATAACATGGTTGAGGGGGAGAGGCATGGAAGAATTAGATGAACTCTAGATAGGGCAAAGGGGAAGGCAGGGAAGGGAGAGGGTATGGGGGGAAGAAGGATGGTGGAATGCGATGGACATCATTACCTTAAGTACATGCACAAATGGTGTGACTCTACTTTGTGTACAACCAGAGATATGAAAAATTGTGCTCTATAAGTGTAATATGAATTGTAATGCATTCTACTGTCATATATAACAAATTAGAATAAAATAAAAAAAAAAGAAAGTGGCACAGAAAGAAATGGGTCAGTTTTTGAAGTTGATTCCCTTTCTACTGTGCTACGCTGCTTCTCATCAGAAGGAATGAATCCCTTGGGATAAGTCAAAAGACAAAAGGCTCACAATGAGGAAGCAAGCTCCAAATATCATGGCTTTCATCTTCACATCCAGGTCCAACGGGAAGTGGATGTCAAAGTGGTCAGCATCTCCCATGTTGGACAACAGACCATTCCACTTACGAATAATGCTGCCAATGCTGGACACACCGTCCAGGGACTGGACCTACAATGACAAGAATGTGATTTGATCAGGATTGAAAAGTATTAAAGCACATGTCTCAGTCTTCCACACACAGCAGTTTATGCTGTGATAGCATAAATTCAGGCAGGAGAAGAATAATCACATAATTCCAAATGAGGATATTATGTCCAAGAAGGATTACATGTTTTAATTCTGATTGGAAACTAAATTGAAATATATCTTGCAATCCTCAGGCAACTGCTCTTTCCTCATCTTCTGATGAGCTAGCAGGAGACCTTGTCAGAGTGAGAAAGGAATTTGGGGATACAGGAAAAAGAAGACAGACTGAGAAGCACCAGGGAGCCTTTGGAATTCAGGAAACCCCCTGAACCTTTGAAATGCAAAACAAGCATTCCTGAGCAACCCAGTCCTTCATTCTTGCCCAAGTTCTCCTGCAAAAATGATGTCATCATGATGGCAATACTTAAACATGGGAAAACTGGCAGGATATTGTGTAACTTCAAACTTTACCTCTAATCCAGCTCCTAGCATATGTACTTCTATAAATATCAACATCCTACACCAAGTGGTGCTGAATCTCCCTCTGAAGATGGCTGGCAATCTCCCTTGAATGTGTATTTCTTACTTTAACCTAAAAGATGTCACTACCCTGTGATAGTCTGCATTCTTTCTTGAATGTGTTTCTGCTTTCCTGAGTAAATCTGAGTAAATCTGGTGTTTCTGCTTTCCTGAGTAAATCTGGTGCATGCTGAAATTCTTTCCCTTCATGGGTGTCAAAAACTCTAGTGTCCAGAGTCAAAGTCCCCATCTCTAGGAACTCCTTTGGTGACTGTGATTGGAATTGATCATTGAATTCTCCATAGAACAAAGGGTGGGAATTGGGAAATGAAAGAAACCTAAGAGCAAAAGCAGATGTCATGATACTGTCCACTACTTATGGCTTGAGCTTTTGGGAGAGAAATCCACCTTGCCCAAACATACATCAGGATGCCAAAGGGGACCCTGGCTCTCACCACAGGGAGTATACGTGAATGTCCCTTGGCAATAGGAACAGCCTACCCTGCAATTTGGCTTGTCTATATTTTCTACAATTGTCTTTTATAAGTAAGTAGTATTTAATGATATGGTGACATAAAATGAGAACTAGGGGAAATTTATTGAGTATTATAGGAAACACATAGGAGAGTAATTTCACTAGATGATAGGTTGGATTGAATTCTGAGGCTTCAGAAAGGACTCTATATGGAGTTCAGGAAATATTCTAGGAATTTCCTTTGTCAGATTTGCTGATAATAAGCAATCATTTTGTAAACCCTCCCTGTGATAAAAGTGAAACAAAAGGATTTTTTTCTTTCTTGAGCAAATGTTATAATATAACCTATGAGGAATTTTATCCATGTTGTCGGTGTTATCTATTTCTTGAGGGTGCAGATAGACAATCTATCATACACGTAAGCAATTGGCACAACTCGGAGCGCACTACATGTTCTGTCTTACGTTGGGCACTTGCATTAGAATCTATATTCCCATCTTGGAAATGTGTAGGAAAAAATGGTCAAGTAAATACAACCAAGAACAGGAAAAAAAAAAATGGATTAGGTCAGATTACTAACTCTCAAAAGTTTTGATGTTTTCAATGATTTATTTTTCTTTGTCAAGTACAAAAATAGAAGCAGGGTTGGGGGGGAGCCAAACAAAAAGCATTTCACATTTTGGAAAGTATCAAGTAATTTATTCATAATGACTTGAAAATCATTGCCTGTCAACTGGTTAATGAACACCTTCTTCTTACTCTGTAACTCATTCACATGATAAAATTGTCTAAACGAGATCATTCTGAGGTCTATTAGAAAAAAAAATAAACAGTAGAAACATTATGTTCACGGCATTTACCTCGAAAACAGAGTCGGAGCCACAGCCATAGGTAGAGCAGGGTCCGCGCACTCTCAACACGTTCTCTTTCTTCTCATTCTGGATGCTGTAGACGGCTCTGCACAGGTTCCAGTGCTCTGCCACAAAGCCAATTGTGGCTCCAGGAGGACACTGCACCTCCAGCTGCGGAGGCAGCAATCAGGGAGGTCAGGAGGATGGACACAGACCAATGCAACACACACGCCCACAGCCTAGACATGCTCCTGCACTGAAGGACCAGGGAGATTGGTTCTGGGAGAGGAAGTCTAGGTCTCCTGGGCTATCATTAGAGTTGTATTTTAATAAGCAGCCTTGTGGGATGAGGTCATGCTTCCCTTTGAGACAAAGGGCAGGCTTAATTCTGCTTTCTTATAAGAAGGTCAGCTGTTCAGGCTCAGTGTTCTTAAACTGCCCCCACGCAGCACTGCTTACATACACAGATTCTCCAAGTCAACCCCTAGACAGGTGGACAGGGAAGGGGCGGGGGGGACCAACCCCAGCATACTGATGCTCATGTTGCTTGTTGTGCTGTATCAGTGTCCTTTGTCTCTGATCTAGGAATCTCATGTCTTCTGACACAGTCCATGAAACAGTAATAAGCTAACTTTTAGACTTTTAAGTCAGATAAAAGCCAAACCTCAGACTTGTTCATTATAACAAAAAAAGGAAAAGGAAAGAGACATTCTGAAAATTGTATGACAGTGGCTCCCTCATCTCCAGGTATATGTTCCAAGACCCCCAGTAGATGCCTGTAAGCACAGTTAGTACTGAAACCCATAGACACTATATTTTTTCTTAAATATAGATACCTATAATAAATTTTAATTTATAAAGTAGGAAAAGTAAGAATATTAACAACAATTATTAATAATAAAATAGAATGGTTATAACAATACTATATACAGTAGAAAAAGCTATGTGAATCTGGTCTCTTTTAAGTGCCACAGGGCAGGTGACATATACAGCATGGATACGCTGGACAAAGAGATGATTCATATTCCATATCCCATTGTGCTACTCAGAAAAGCAATTGAAAATGTATGAACTGATTATTTATGGAATTTGTCATTGACATTTTCAGACCACAGTTGACAGCAGGTAACTGAAAGAGCAAAGAAACTGAAATTGCCAAGTGAAACTGCAGATGCTAGTGGAGGAGGAGGGACTACTGCATTCCAACAGCAGAGTGCATAGGTGGACAGATACAGCCGTTTTTAAAGAGAGTCTTAAAATATTGCCCACTCTTTTGCTTTATTTAATTATCATTACAATATTCCTTTGTCAAACAAGATCTTCCTACTTAATAGGAGTTATAAAGATTTCCAAAGTGAAAGTTCTACTATTTCTCTAGTTGAATATGTACTTTTCTAAGAATTCTGGGAAAAGACTAAAGAGAACATAGGACAGGACCAGTTTCCTACACTGTCAAATCAAAACGCTGTCCATGTACATAAAGTCATACTTAAACACAAACATAAATTTGATAGTATTGTAAAGGAATATCTCATGTAAGTTTAAGCCTAAGATGTCATCATATCAAAACAGCCTAAAAATAAGTCACTTAAAAAACTCATACCAGGGGATATTACTCAATCATAAAAGGAATGAGGTAATCAATCTGGGTAAAAAACTGCTAATCTTGGTCGCATAATATATGACTTTGTTTTGTTATATATTGTTTTCTTTTTTATTTACTTATTTTTTAAATTTTTTTGTATTTGTATATGGACAGCATGCCTTTATTTTATTTGTTTATTTTTATGTGGTGCTAAGGATTGAACCCAGTGCCTCACATGTGCAAGGCAAGCAATTTGCCACTGAGCTACAGATCCAGCCCATGTTTCCTTTTTTTAAAAATAAAAGTTCAATTTATTTTATCCAATACATAAAAATGCAAAAATTGTACGTATTAATTGGGTACCATCTGATGTTTAGGTTCACTAATACATTCTGCAATGTTTAACATTTTAAAAGTCTTGAAATGCCAAAATAACAGAGATGTAGAACAGATTCATGGCTGCCAGGAGTTAGAGATGAAGAGGAAGGAGGAAGAGGAGGGTGGTAATAGAAAAGAATTTCTGAGTTAATGAAACTATTTGGTGTCTGTATTGTGGTAGTGGATACAGGAATCCACATAGGTGATAAAACTGCACAAACAAAACACACAAAATAAATTTAAAAATAATAGATAAAATCTAGATCATGTTATGGGACAAAATTCCATGAATTGGGCTGCTTTTGGTTTTGATTTGCTTTTCTCTATCCTGGCTTCTTGTAATCTCAGGAGACTGCATTTATAGGCTATGATTTAAAACCCAACTCATATATGTGAAGAACAATGCTTAGTATATCCAAAAGGGAGGTAGAGATTCATTCCAAATATAAGGCTCTTATCACAAAAATAATAGTTGCAATGGAGTATTTGAGAATCATAGATAATATTCACTGACAACTATATCATTTGCCAGGCTTTGTGCTCAGGAATTGATATTTATTTATCACTTGTCCCTCATAACAATTATCCTGTCAGACAGGTGCCATTAATATCTCCACATTACAAGTAAACTAAGGCATGGAGCAGGCAGTGGGTAAATATTTAGTAAATATTGACCCTTAACCTATAATGTAAACATTTAAGTTAGTCTGTGAGGTAGTACCTACGCAGAATATGAATCAGAGACTCAAGAGGTTCAGTAAATTGTCCAGATTGATGTGGGCTAGACTATATGGGCAATGACCAAACAGACTCCATATCCTGTAAGAAACGCTTCTCCCATGGGGAAGTCCCAACTCTGTACCCATTAATAGCTGCCTAGCATAGCATATTTGGCAACACAGAATTGCAATTCTTATACAATGTAAAAGTGTTCTCTTTGGTTCCCATTTTTCTTGGGCAATGTACCTTGTCTGAGAATGATTATCTAGATGTTAGTAACCATTCTTTAACTTGTACTCATCTAGGGTCACTTTGACCCACTTTCCTTCTGCTTATGACTATGAAAAGTCCCATGAGAAACTCTGAATGAGAATGAAAATATGATTAAGGACATTGCATTGTTTCGCTAATGGCTTTATTTAGCTTCTGTACCCCTGCTTGCTTGCTTGTTGCTATGCCAACCTGGATTCGTTTTTTGCGGGTTTTTGCCATTAAATACCCTAAAATGTTGTGACTCAGGGCTGTTTCCTGCAGAGACAGTTTGGGTCCTATAGAAAGCAGTAAGACAATAAAGACTCAAATTTGGACAAAGCTGGGACTTGGTGTGATTTCTAAGCGACCTGCCCTATAACAAGTGGTATATATGGAATTCAAACTCTAGTTGGCCTCTCTTTAAAACTGCTTTTCTTTTCCCCGTAGCAAAAAACAATCTGAAAACTGCATAGATAAGTAACCAAACCATAACTCAGCACTCTGGTTCCAGCTGCGAAGGCACTTCATTGATTTAAGCTGCTCCTTCTCTCTCCAGAAAGGTGTGAATTGTGATGGGTAGTGTAAAGATATTGGTATTCCCTTCCATTCTAAAAAACATCTGTTATTCTTTGCATTGCCTTATGCAGAGATATGTAGGTGTGACTACTGTCAATCTCTACAAATTCTCCAATTCAGTAGACAGAAACTCAGAATTGACATCATTGCCCAAACAATCTTAATTTGTCCTTGACCTGCCAACTAGCACTTGAAAAGCATGAACTGCAAACAAACAAACAAACAAAAAACAGGTTTCCCCACACAGTGGAGGCTGGATCAGGAAGAGACAATGGCTGAGACTGCTCTTCTCTACCTCTTGCCTGGCTGAGGGGCAGCAGAAGCAGCAGCAGGTGCATCGGAAAGGTCTCTGCATCGTCATGATCTCTCGTCCCATGAAGTCAATGACCCTGAGGACGAAGGGCCTTAGCGTCCGATAAGCATTCCTGGTAAAGTCATCGGTATCTTCATTTACGATGTAAACCATCTGGTCTGCACTGTTTTTAATATCATATCTGTTATTGGTTTCGAAATGTGTCATCTCTGAAAGATAAAATGAGAAAAATAAACTATAATCAGTTAAAATGGACCTCAAGAAATCTTTGTTTAGGGGGAAAAAGAACTCTTTTTTTATAAATATTTTAAGTCATAGATGGACACAATTCCTTTATTTTATTCATTTTATTTATATGTGGTGCTGAGGATCGAACCCAGTGCCTCACATGTGCAAGGCAGGTGCTCCACCACTGAGCTAGAACCCTGGCCTCTTGGTTTAGTATTCTTAGGGACAGATTTGTAACAATTTCAGGCGAAATATATTCAGTTGATTAGAAGGCCAAAAAAATCATTCATATGACCAATAAGTATTAGTTAATTTTGAAAATTTAGAATATTTCCTATATTCAGTATAAAATAATTTTAAAAGTGCTTCTACATAAAAGCAAATATGAAAATAATATTCTTGAGATATCTGAATTAAATAAATTACATGTTAAACAGTGAATTAATCAGCTCAAGAAATATGCTGAAATGACTAGGGTCATTACTAGTTACAAGGAAAGTCAGAGGTTCTATGTGGTGGCCAAGTCAATATGCAGAGATAGAATAGACAGGTCAGCCATTTGAATAGATGGAAAGGCTTGATCTTGACTGTGACCATTTCTTTCTACTTCCAATGCAAAGATTCAGAACTCAATAGATTTAGATTCTGTCCCCAACATTGCCATGATTAGCTAACTGTAGGGCTTCTGGCTAACTTATTTGATCTCCTTTCTCCTTTTATTTATCAATGAGAGGTGAATATGGAGGAGAAAGTATAAGTAAAAGGTAGAACACACTGATCAGATAAAACATAAATCCTCTTCAAACCTAAGAGCTTATATGATGGATAAATAAAACTATACAAAATAATTTGCTTTATTGTTTTCTTGAAGTCAAGGTAATATTCTTCTCTCTTTGAACCACTAAAACCCCATCAATTTAAAAAAGGAACTAGATATTTGATAATGCAGATTTTCCCATGTGATCGATACACTGCTGAACACAACAAAATTATACATACGTTCAATAGGCTCAAAATGCTGAAGAACGTGTATGTTGTCCAGCTGTGGGAACAGAACAAAACAATTAGAATGTAGAAAAATATCCAATCTATTTAGCATGGTGAGACAGGTATCAAAATATATCAAGTGATATCTGATATATTTATTCCACTCAATTTAAAAAAAAATCTTTTTGAAATTGAGTGGAATAAAAAAAAACTATCGACTGAAATTAGTTTATCTGCATCTGATCAGAAGAATATTAGCAGAGTTTTCCAGATAAGAAAAACACTCCTCCAGTTTGACTTTATAAAAAAAAAAAAAAGCTGGCTGATACATCAGAAAAACATCTCATTGCTATAGTAACAGCATCTAGAAAAAGAAGTGTTTACATAGATTTTTCCTAGATCAGCTCGTAATTACCTGCCTCTCTCTGACTTGTCACCCATAGATGTGCCTCTTAGGCAGTTCAGGGTGAGTTGACATGTTTCAGGCACCAGAAGGAATTCTCTCAGTGGCTTAGAGCAAAGGAACCAAGGGTGAACCTCCCCAGGGGTCTTCATTTATACATTATTCCTCTGGTGCCTCTGGAAGAGGTTTATATACCAAAGTCTGGTCCACGAGAGCAGAAAGAGCATGAACAGGGCTTGGGGAGAGGAAAGGAAGCATCCTCACTTAGAGATACTACTTTAACTTAGAATCATTCTAGGCATAAAGAGTTTGATGGGTCCATTATCTGTTATACTTTACAATATTCTAGCAGAACAGAAGCAATCTCCTTGAGGACAATCATTATCTGTACAATTTTAGATCACTGAGATCATATATTTTTCCAGAACGTGCCTGGAAAGCTGTATTTCACTAAATATTCATCAGTATGTTAACTGGGGAAAAATATATGATTGCCGTGGTAACACATAAGACTTAAGATAACTAGGTGTGAACATTTTGTGGTATGATTAATTACAAAGGGTGTAGAAAGACATAACTGATTTTAGTTAAAATATTTTTCTTATATAAAAACCTCAATCAAGTGATGTGATCTAAACATAAAATATCAAAAAGTAACTACCAATATAGGTAAAATTTCCATTTAAAAAATTCATGATATTAAAATGCAGAATCAAAAAGTAAATATTCATTCAATGGTGAAAGTGTCCATTGCAGAGAAAAATATTCTGAGAATTAGATGCCTATGAATGTGTGGAAGAAGTTTGCCCAGAAAGACACTATGCTGGAAAAGGAGATATTTGAGCAGTTGGTGAAGTCATTGGCAAAGCCAGTATTCTGGAAATAATATGACCCTGCTGTGGACTATTATGGAGTCTTGTTAGTCTTGAAAAAGCATCATATAACTTGCACGGGAGCTCTCAAAAAGACCAACAGAAAAGTGACTGACTCTATGTCTTGTGCTTACTCACAAGGGTGTCTTTAATAAACACTAATACAGCTGTCATCATCCACTGGGTACACCCTGTGTACCAAAAATATCAGGGATGTAACAAGCATTATCTCATTAAAAATTCTCACCACAAGCTAATAGAGTGACATTAGGAAAGTTATTCAGAGTTTTAGTTAGTAGGGAGTAGATATGAAATTAAAGACCAGGTTTTAATAAAACCTTGTTTTATTTGTTTCCTTTTTTCAAGTTTTTTAAACATATAACATTCCTAAAAGGGAAAATTGAACTCATAAAATATACTACTTTAAAGTCCATTGCAGTAATAGCAGAAACTGTTCTTCTAATACTTAAACAAAGCCAAACAATCTTGAAAGAGACATGACTCCCAAAGATACTGGATTTCAGAGAGAAATTTCTATATTTTTAATCTAGTACAGAAATGAAGGTGCCTAAACTTGATTCACTGTAAAACTTTCATAAGCTTTTGAAGTAATGCAGGGTTTATGCCACCATTTTGAATGACTGGGTTTGTATTGTTCTTAATCTACTCAAACAGTAATTGAATTAAAAAATTGGCTCATGTACACTTCAACTTTTCCTGATCTTACTGTATTGACGTTCATACATTAACACTGTAACACTGTACCAGTGGTTTTCAACACACAGTATTAACAGATCATGATCAATATGTGGAATTGAAAAGAGAAACTGGCAACTCCAAGAAAAACTCAGTTGACTACCTAGGGAGATACATGCTGGATTGGGAAGGCCTTACTTATAATATATTTCAACACCTTCTTTTTTTCAAAAGCAAACAAGAGTCAGACGATTCAGAAGAAATTTTACCATTAGTTTTATCTTACTTTCATTAAGCAGGTTTTTTGAGTTTTTGACACAGGGCTTTAAACAATACTACTTGTACATTTTACACATTGCCCCAGTTTCTTTAAAATGATTTTTATTACAGAATTGTAATTATTTGTAATATTTGGGTTCCTTTTGACAAAATTATACATACAAGGAATTTTATTTCAATCCCCCCTCGCCACCATTTTTGCCCTAATTTATGGTCTGAGATCTTGATGGCTCCAGAATGCATATTCAGGTAGAAATTTGGGACTCATTGTCTCTAATTATATGGAAGGGATCTCTGGAACTTGGCCTGAAGCAATACCGTCACCTTGGAAGTCCTCTATTTTTATTTATATTGTATCTGGGAGTGACAGGAAGGGACAAGAAAAATAATGGGTAATGAACAAAAGCTATGGGCTAAGGCACTCAGTAATTTCCCAAGAGGCCATATGAAATATCCAAATTGTGAATCTGATTCCTTTATGAAGGCAACACTCACACCACCAAAATCATGTATACTCACTGTTCCCCTTCCACATTTCTGAAATCATTACCAGCTTCCTACCATCTCAATAAACAAGGCTCTGTCATCACTGAGCAGCCGCTTCATCCAGTCTACTCAGACTTTTGTCCCTTATTGGAGCTCCATGGTCACACACTTCATGGGAAAACAGTTCAGAGTTGGGTGGAGTACCTGAATTAAGTATTCCAGGCCAAGAGGGCAGTTTGGCATGGGTGATGGCCGTGGCATCCATGGAACTGGAACAAGCTGACTGGGCCCAGGATATTTGCCAGGCTGATACTGGATAGGATGGATACTACCAGTTGGTTGGTACAAGGGAAAGGCGCTGGGCAGCTGTGGACCGTAGTATCCCATAGGCATTCTGCCTGGGTAACCTGCAGGTGGAGGGACAGCCGGTCCAGAGGGTCCTGGGTTAAAAAACAAATGCAAGCATCATATATCATTAATACTTCAGAATACTGAAAGCGAGTAACTTCACTTAAATGAAGATAAAATGGACCATGCAACATCTTCCTAAAAATAACATGCTCTGCTGGTGCACACCTGTAAATCCCAGTGACGTGGGAGGCTGATGCAGGAGGATCACAAATTTGAAGCCAGCCTGAACTTAGCAAGATCCTCTGCAAATCAGTGAGACCCTGTCTCAAAATAAAAAAAAATTTTTTTAAATTTTAAAGGAGGACTGGGGGTATAACTCAGTGGGAGATTACCTATAGGTTCATGCCTAGTACAAAAAATTTTTTTTTTCATTTTCTGAGTGTGTACCATCTACCAACAATGTGCTAAGGGGATTTATTTGTATATTAATTCATTTAATCCTCTTAAACCTTATAAGATAATTACAAAAATAAGGATTGAAACATGAAAATGCTAGCCTCCAATGCATTAGATTCTCTCTTTGTAGATAATATACATACTTCATTAGGTTCTCATAGGTTAGTACAAGGGCTAGTACATAATTACCACTGTAAATTTTTATTATATTCGTTATTTTTTAAGGTCAGAAATAAAGTAAGTTCTATTTTACTTCAAAGAAATGGTCTAATGACCATCCCTTTGTTGGGCTTTTATTCAATCACAAGTTTTTAAATCCTCCTCTAGATCTCAGACTTCTCCTCAATTCTGACAGTATTTAAATTTCTTAAACCCCTTGTTTCAGAATTTGGGGTTTCTATAATGGAATATCACAGATTGAGTGGCTTAAGCAATAAGTGCTTCTTTCTCATATTTCTGAAAGCTGTAAAGTCCAAAATCCTCTGCCAGCCTGATCAAGTCTGCTGACAGCCCACTTCCTGTTTTTCAGGGGCTGCCTTCTTGATGTCTTTCCATGGAAAAAGAATCCTCCTTCCTGGGTCACTTCTTAGAAAAGCACCAATCCCACGATGAGGACTCCACACCCATAACCTAATTACTTCTGAGAGATTCCACTCTGAGCACCATCACCGTGGGGATTAGGGCTTCAGCACGTGAATTTAAGGGGGACACAAACAGTCGGTCCACAGTACTTATCTATCTACCATTTCTCCCAACTCCACCTTCAAAACAGAATTGATGAATTTTGTCTTTGTCACTATAAGTCAGTTAAGGGATCTGGATTTCCTTAAAGAGATACAATATTTTATTAAGAGTAATGAAGATGATGAATTACCATATATCAACTGATGTGTGACTTTAGGATGTTTTTATTATACCAAAGGTCTAAAATCAAGAATTTTTAAAAATAATTGTCATTAATAATTTTTTCATTTTTTTGCTTTCCCAATTTTTACAATTAATTGATTAAATTCTGTAAGTAACTGAGCCGTGGTTGCCTATCAAGATATGCAACAGATTCTGCTAAAGTTTTATAAACTTAACTGAAATCTTAAGTTTTAGGAACTTAACTGAAATCTCATTTGTGTACATGTTTATATTTATGCCCATATTATATAGTATTGACTACCCCACCTCTGTAGCAACCTTGGAAATTGCAAACTGTAAGTTCTCTAAATTTTTATTCAAGATTGTTCAAGATATTCTGAGTCTATTACATTTCTATATATTTTTTTTTAGAATTTCTTTGTCAAGCCTACTGGGAAACTGGTAAAAATTATGTTAAATCGGTAGATCAATTTGTGGAATATCATCATGTAATGATATTTAACTTATCAAATCTACAAACAAGGAATTCCTTCCCATTTATTTAGATATTATATCAACAATGTTTATAATTTTCATTGTGCAAGTCTTGTAATTTCATTAAACTTAATCCATATTATTTTTCTTTCTTTATTTATTTGAGTCAGTTGTTGTCACTATGTTGTGCAGGCTGGCCTTACACTCCTGTTTTTAGACAATCATCTGGTCCCATCCTCCTGAGTTGCTGGGACTACTGGCACATGTCACTGTACTTGAATTATTTTATTATTTTTAATGTTACTGTATGTGGAATAATAGTTTTTTACATATATATATATCCTGAAAATAGAGATAATTTTGCTTCTTGCTTCCAATACAGGTGCCTTTTATTTCTTTTCCTTGCCTAACTGCCCTGGCTAGGACCTCCAGTACAATGATGTATGGAAGTACCAAGAAAAGGGCTGGGAATGTGGCTCAAGTGGTAATGCACTCGCCTGGCATGCGCAGAGTGCTGGGTTTGATCCTCAGTACCACATAAAATAAAATAAAGATGTTGTGTCCACCAAAAAATAAATATTAAAAAGTTCTCTCTCTCTCTTTAAAAAAAAAAAAAAAAAAGAAGTACCAAGAGAAGATGTCTTGTCTTGTTCTTGATCTTAAAGGGAATGTTTTCAGTCATTACTATAAACACATTGTTAGTTGTTGTGGGTTTTCTAAGATGATGTCTATCATTCTGAAAAGTTCCTTTTTATTTCTGACTTGTTGACTGTTTTAATCATACAGGATGATGGACATTTTCAAATGTTTTCTCTGTATCTACTGATGTAATCTTGTGGTTTTTTCCTCCTGTATTCTATCAATAAAACATAAAATTTGAGTAACTTTCATACGACAAACCGATCTTTCACCCTTAAAATGAATTCCAAGTGTACTTCCTTTGTTAGGTTGCTGGACTTGGTTCCCTAGTATTTTGTGGACTACACCTGAATCTATTTATAGAAAGGTTGGTCTGTGGTTTTGTCTTTTGTGATGTCTCTATCTAACTTTTCTAGCTGAATAATACTGGCCTCCTAGAATCCAGAAGTACTAACTATTCTTCCAAGGGATTTGTATCAAATTTTTTTTTATTAAACACTTAGAAGAATTCACTAATGAATCCATCTGGGCCTAGACTTTATTTTGTAGGAAATTTTTAAGTTATTAATTTAATCTCTATATTTGTTATATAGGTCTTTTTAGATCAATATTAAATCATTTTAATAAATTTCTATTGCTTGTATCTTGGGTATAGTGGAATTTGTACATTTCATCTAGGTTTTCTGATTTGTTGGCATACAATTTCATAGTATTACATTATAACACTTTTAAATTTCTGCAACATTGGTAGTAATATCCTGTCTCTCATTTTTAAGTGAAGCAATGAGTCTTTTATTTATTTTTTTTAACCCTTGGTCAAATATGATTTAAAATTGCTTAATTTTTTAAATTTTTTTTAAAGAATTGACTTTTGATTTTTCCTATTATTCTTTTCTCTTTTTCATTTATTTTTGCCCTAATCTTTATTATGTCATAATGCTTGATTTAAGTTTCTTTTCTCTTTTTCTTTTTATTTTTTTTGGCAGAAAATTGAGTTATTGATTTGAAATCTTTGTTCTTTGTTGAAATGTGTTTATAAGTATAGATTTCTGAGTAATACTTCAGCTACATCTTACAAATTTTGTATACTGTGTTTTGTTTTCTCATTTCTCTTGAGATAGTTTTATGCTTACAGAAACTTTAAGGTGTTTTTAAATATCCTCATATTGATTCATTTTTCAGATTTAAATTTCTCAAATTTCCCTCCCTTATTCCTGATATTTAACTTTATTGCATTGTGGTATGAGCACATGCTCTGTTGGATTTCATCAGCTTGACATTTACTGAGCCTTGTTTTCTGTGCTAACCAGTTGTCCATCCCTGAGGTTGTCCTCTGTGGACTGAGAAGTGTACTCTGCTGTTATTGGGGCAAGTCATCTACAGATACCTGCTATGTCTAGATTGGTTTGTAGTGTCTCCATCTTCTGTTTCCCTTTTGGTCTTCTTGATCATACACTGATTTCAAGTAGGATGTTATGTCTACAACAACTGTTTTTCTATTATCCATTTTGCTATTAAGTTCTGTCAGTTTTTCCTTCACATATTTGAAGTCCTTTTTATGTAAATACATATATAATTGTTCTTATTGTTCAACTGACCCTTTATTTATTTAGAACTATCCTTTATGTCTAGTAACACTTTTGTCTCAAAGCATATTTTTCTTATACAGATAGCTATTTCAGTAACACTTATCAACATTAAGTTTGAGAAACACAGTTTTGATGTGGTGTCTTACAAACTGAAAACGCATTTGTGGACAATAAAATCAATTTAAAGATCCAAATTTCAATTTTTAAAATGATGCAGACTAGACTAAAATAAAAAAGAAACATTCAAACTTTATTGCCAGTATACTAGATGCTCACTGTATTGAGTATGACTTGGTGTTAGTTATATATAAATGTATACAAGTGTATGTACATATGCATTGTGTACTATGGATGGTTTCTGGTAGCTAACCCACCCATAGTTAACATCATCACTAATGTTTGAAGCCAATGTCTTAGAGAACTTTTATTAATCAATATAAAGGAAATTAAGGTTCTGTTGTGGAACTGAGAAGATGGAAACACTGTTAAATCATCAAGGTCTGTTGGACAAGAGCTTCTTTACCATGCTGGAGAGATTTCTCTGCAGATTTCCTCCTTGAGGGGAAATTAAAAAAAAAAAACTAAATACAGTTTAAAGTATGGTTTCTTTTTGAAGATTAAATTGTGTCCTTATAATGTGTATATGTACATATATGTGTTTTCTTGAGTATCTGCTCAAAAATTATTGGGTTGTCAGTCCACAGGGCAGCAGGAAGATGTGAGAGGTAAGTGTACTGAAGTTTTACCTCGTGCCCAGATAAATGTACTTGAGGGAACAAAGACTGGGATTGAGAGGTCCAACTTGGACTACGTGATTGGAGCTACATCAATGTTGTATATTTCTCCAAATTTTTCTGGTTTTGGTGGCTGTGGGACTATAAGACTAGGAAATCTGGTGTCTTTGGCAATCAAAGATGCAATGCCACAGAGCTGGTACAGTGCAGGGATGGATAGCTCCTGAAAAATGGCGCCAGCCCCCTGGACAACTGACCATGCCACTCCTGCAAAAGGAAAAGGACTTTTTGAGAGAGGAGGAGACTTTGCTGTCTCCCTGAGCTTCCAAAGAACTGGATCCCAGATACCAAGCAGAAAAGAAAGAACTTCTGTTAGAGAACTTGGCTGATAATGCAAAAACAACACAAGAAAGATTGTAGTAAGCACTTACTGAGCTCCTATACTCCAAGAACTGCCTTAATGAACTTACAAGTATTAGGTATTCTTATATTTATATCAATCTGTGTGTAGGTACTATTACTATCTTTAATTTACAGAGGGGGAAACTGAGGCATAAGGAAGTTAAGTAATTTATTAAGCGTCACTGCGTGATAGGTGGCAGAAATAGAAATAGAATTCAAGTATTTTGACTGCAGAGGCACCTCGCCTTCATTCAATTATACTAATACTTAGAAATAAGGAAGAACTCCCAAAAGGGGACTCTGTGGAGGGCTTGGACCTCCAGACTGGAAAAGCAACCCTAGGTAGTAACTATTTAAGGTTCTTAAGTTGTGCATCACACAATCTACATCCCTACACACACACACACACACACACACACACACACACACACACACACACACATATTTACTGGGGAATCACTGGGGCAAAGAATTGTTCTGGAGTCAACCAATGCTGAGAGAGCCCGGGAAGTGACATTCACCAAGACTCCCAGAAGTTCTCTGGAATGAGATATAGAGTACACCTGCACTTGTGTAAGCCAAACTGGACAAAGACTTTGAGTCCTATGATGTGGACATTAAAGGGAAGAGTGGCCTTTGCAGCTAATTTAGTCTGGGACATTCTGGGTACTCAAAAAAATCTCATGCATAAAAGTCATGAAGTGTGAAACAAATTCTCCTAATGCTATCTTAAATGAGGCTGAGATAAACATTTCTTTAAGTAAGAAGCAATCCTTAAGCCCATTACAGGTCCTGCGTAAGGTTAGAAAGAGAAAGAGGTACAAACACATGACTGTCTTTAAGGACACACAATCCTGAGGAAGATACACAGATTCATAAGAAAAAGTGAATGGGTATCACGAAGCAAGTAACTGCTGTAATGATAGATGCATGCATAATGTGTTAAGGGATTAGAGAGGAGGGACACTTACGCTAGGTAGAGGAGGTATACTGTGACCTAAATGACAACATATTGGACCCAGCCAGCACCTCCTTTTTTTTTTTTAAGAGAGAAAGAGAGAGAGAGAGAGAGAGAGAATTTTTTAATATTTATTTTTTAGTTATTGGCAGACACAACATCTTTGTTTGTATGTGGTGCTGAAGATCAAACCCGGGCCACACGCATGCCAGGCGAGCGTGCTAACGCTTGAGCCACATCCCCAGCCCAGCCAGCACCTCCTTGATGCAGAAAGATCTTACTGGAAAATAGACCAGATTGAGCAGGTGAAAAGAAGAAGCTTTGTACTACAGAGAGAGAGAGAGGGCTGTGTATGGAGATTCAGTAAACAAAGAAAGACAGGTGGGAGTACAGAACAGGGAAGACCTTACTAAAGTGCTTGAACTCTATGTCAGTAAAATGGAAAGTGGAGTGGTTGTTTTACGTTTAGAACTCTTTGTATATGAGAGGGTTAGATTAGATAGAGGATCACTGTGAGCGTCCAAATGGAAGGAAGGATGTTTGACAGTGGTGAAAGGAACAGAATGTGCAGAAATCATATTTAACATCTAAGAGACAGTGGTGACTTAGCAACAGGCTGGATGTGTGAAAAGAATTTCTGGCTTAGGCTCTTATGAGCCTGCAGAATAGGGAGAAATGGTATGAATTTGGGAGCAAGCTGAAGAAGCTAGATGGAGGACCGTTGAGTTTGAGAACTCATAGCTATCCTGAGGAAGCAGCCTATAGGCTGCTGGAGATGTAAGTTTAGAGCCCAACAAACTGAAATGGGTCATGGACCTGAGATTCACAATGCAAACGAAAGCACTGGTGTTTCAAAGATCACTTATGAGGGCCTGTAACAGGAGGGCGAATGGAGGAGGTGAAAGTGGGAGGCTGGACAGAGCTGAGCATCAAGGAATGCCAGGAATCACCAGTGCTTCAGGGAAGGCACACAGAGTTCCTGACGGAGGCTGAATGAGTGTAAGCAGAAAACAGGGAGAGTAACGATGACTACAAAGGAGGTCCACTTGGAGCTGCGTGAGATGAAAAGGTCTACAGCCCTTAGACCAAATTGTAGTCAGTATTAAATAAATAAAAAATTACACAAATTTCCTAAAGATTACCAGTCATCATATCACTTTAATGATATAAGGTACATAATGATTATCACACCATAGGAATACTAATCAATATTCAGTTTGCTGAGTTGATTGTTAACACACCATGTACTTTTAATATAAAACCAGAGCATGTAATAAGATTTTGAGTTAATAAATCAAAAAAAAAAATTATAATTTACATTAGGGAACTTATTCAGTATAATGATTATATTTTAAGAAAAATTATTTACAAATTTTATGTAAATAAATGGTTTTTATTATTATAAGTATGTATTATCCAGAGTTAAGAGAAGTGAGGAAAAAAAATTATGTGTGAGAAACTACTATATTATTCTCCATTCTGAGCTTTGAAATTGACCTTACCAGTTTTGTTTGGTTCTGCAAGACTACATAACAGAGAAAGCAAAACATCACATTTAATTTTGTGTAACTAGAGAATCTCACACTTCCATAAAATAAAGAACTCTTATAAAGAACTATCCTACCAAAACTAGTATGAGAAACTGTACTGTATGAAATTTGAGTTTTCCTGGTTATATTGAATATTACTATTCTTTCTGATTTTAAAAAAATCATGCCATTTCCTTTTCCAGTAGAACTACATATAACAATGATTTCTTTATTCTTCTAAATAAGAATAGTGACAAACTAATTTTTAGGAAAAGCACATATCAGGTACTATAATGCAAGTGAAAATTACAGAATTAAATTTAAATGAATTTGTTAAAACCAAGTATCTCAAGCACAGTGTTTCAAGTTTCTTCCTGTGAATTACCAGAATACAGTTTATGTCGTAAGTCCCTGTTTTCCCCCAGCACACTGGGTGGTGATCAGAGAGGACTTTTACTATATGTTTAGAACGGAAAATTCACTGGTTGCATGCTCTGCACTCCTAGTATTTTTTCAACATATATAGTCATTTCACTTGAAGGGATGTCTTCTATTCTTTAACTAGTTTTTTTTGACATTGAGAAAAATAGGTAATTTTGCAGATGAGCAAATGTGATTTACAACCAGTGTTTGCTTCTTAGGAATGGCGAACTTGTCGCTTTAGTGGATCAGAGTGATAGCTGAATATAAAGTAGGTCATGTACATTGTTTTTCAGTGAAGTGAAATACAGAGAAATGGTTAAATAAAGTATGGCTGGACCTTAGGAGCGTCAGTATATGGATTTGGGAGAGGTTGGCCAGTTATGAAGTGCTATAAAGGATCTCATCTGCAGGACAGTAATATAATTTAGGAAAAGGTCAAGGAAGGTCCGCTGTTTTCAGAATGCACTGTAGGGCCCAAGGACACCCGAGCTCCATGGCTAATAGAATAAGAGCAAAGAAAAGGTCTCTGCCATCATCCTACAGAAACTGGGACTTTTTTGCCCTTTCAGAACCTTACATAATCGTTTTCACCTCTACATATACATTTAAATAACTATTCAAAAAAATAGCACTATCATATCTAGAATTTTCTAAATCTCTAAACAATACTAACTAAAATCATTTCTTGAGTGAAAAGTAATTATGTATTAAATTTTTTACACATTGCCAATTTGCTTTCTAAAAAGAGGTGAATGACTTAGATTTATATTAGTTATACAATTTATATTACTTATACATAAGTACCCATTGTTCTAAGTCACCACCAAAGTGTACTGAGACTTAGAAATTATTTGTCAGAAGGACAAGCTCCTAAGCCAGCCCCCTAGCCTTCCCTTCCAATTCTCTGCACTTCCCCTACCTACCGTCTGTCCCATGCAGGCCTCACACAGACCATCATATACTTTTGAACATAGAACATATAGTTTTTTCTGCAAGAAATAATCCTTTTCTTTGAGAAATACTTATCATGACAGCAAAACTTAACTTTCTCAGTCAAGGCTTCCCCAACCCCGTGATAGAGTCAGATACTATCTTGATGGCCCTAGAATATTCTCTTCTTATGTTCATAGTAGATCACAGATAACACATGCCATCAACATTTGTACAACTTCCTCCTCAGTAGCCAGTCCATCTTATGAGGACAGTAATACGTACTAACATACTAACTGATAGACGGTAAAAACCTTGGCATTCTAACAGCTTTCAATATTTACTTAATGAATCAATTTATTATCATCAGTTAATGTGAAAATCAACTTTAACCAAGTACTTTAGTTTTCTAAATATTTATCCTACCTGCCACAAAATGAGAATTGTAGTCAGGAGGAGCATCAGGCTGTGCATCTGGTGATTTTATTTGAGTTTCCATTTCACCTGTGGGCTGCTCCAGGACTGTGGGAACTAGATCTTGAGGAAGAAGAGAAGACATGATGGACAAGGGTAATGATGACATAATTATAAAATGCAATCATCTTTCTCTTGTTGGTATGCATCAAGGAATATGCTCATGTTTTTTATGAAAAGCTGTAATTCGTCATCTATTACACATTAACCTACTAACTCATATTATAGATTTTAGGCTAGATAAATTAAAAGATACATCAAAGGAATTCATTGTGCTTGTGACTAGAGCAATAATTTTCACACTTATGGCTCAGCTGACCTGAGGCTCACTCCTGCCTGTGTAATAAACTCCCTCATGAAAACAAAGAGCCGTTTTCCTATCATATGGAGAATATATGCAAATACACAGTGACTTTAATTTTTCTCCTTATTCTTTTTGACAAATGCTGTTGAAAGAAATTTAGTATTTACCACCACAAATACTCAGTAGTTTTGAAAACCGGTAGTGGAGCACATGTCTGTTGTGTGCAGATCAGTCAATACATGGTGACTCACGTTCTTACTATGTTCTATCTAAAACAGCCTATCATCTACAGTTACTGCTAATGGGGAGGGAGTGAAGTCCCTTTGCATGATGATATACCTCGTCCTCCAATTGAGGATGGAGAGACTTTGCTTTTCAGTCTTTGTAAGAAAATGTTCTGAATTTCCTAAGCAAACAGCTAAATTCTATGCCATAGTAAACACAGATTTCATAATCGTGGTGTTCTCTCTTGCAGTTGCTAGAAACCGCAGTTCTACCCTCAGGCCTTCTCTGTCAAGGCCATGTGTCACTGTCTGCTCTTCACCACCATGGCTCTATGTAGACATATTTTTATTTCCTTAATTTCCTCCACACACTCAAAAGATCTTTCGGTACATATGGGCCAATATGAAATGCTATTTAAACCACTTCTAATAGACAGATAGGGATGCTCACATGCATAAATGAATACATGCAAACACACACACACACACACACACACACACACACACACACCCCTCCAAATGCTAAACAATAAAAACCTCCAAAATGATAACAACTCCCTTTTTAAGGAAAGCAATACCACAATTCACATTTGAAAATAAAACAAGTTCAAATTTATTCATGAAACTGTACCTGACATCTTGAAGAAATCCAGTCAGTCCTGAAAAACAAAAACAGTTAATGCTTTTACATACATATATACACATGTATATATAAAGACACACACAATATGTACTTACTGTTATTACTGATATATGTGAAAACTTCTGTAAGTTCTCAGCCTCCAGTTATCCTTCTTTCATTAGTTCATGAATTCAACAAATACTTATGAACTCCTATTATATACCAGACACTATTACAGAGGTTGAGGGGGAAAAAAAAAAACAAAACTTCTGCTGCTCACTCTGCTGCCGTTTAGACTTCAGTGGGGTGCAAATAACAGAAGCAGGTTGAAAATATTTTGAACTTAAATAGCACAGTTATGAAGAAAGCTAAATAAGATATTCCAGACGTCAGGGAAAGCCTCTCTCAGGAGGGGCCTCTGAGCTTCCTGGACTCTGAGAAGGAAACAGCACAATAAAATTGTAGGGAGAGTTCCAGGAAGACAGGGAGTTCGCCCAGAGGCCCAGAGGTGGCAGTGAGCTTGGGGTGCTCAAGGGACAGAAGGAGAAAGAGGTCGGTGACAGGGCCACAGTGAAGGAAGAGAACCCAGGTGAGAGATGAAGACAGAGGTTGGCTCACACCTGAAGGCCGTGGCGAGGGGTCTGGAGCTTGTAATCATGACAACTAGAGGATTTGAACCCGTGCGGTGGGCAGACCTGGCTTAGCCTGGATCCTGAGAGGTGGGAGCAGAAGCAGGGAGGGGGCTGCTGCAGTGCAGGTGAGAGCTGCTGCTGGCTGAGGTGGCCAGTGCAGGCTGGCCCTGGGGAGGGACAGTCAGAGGGAGGACATGGGTTGGACAAAGAACCCACAGGAGTCCCTGATAGACCAAGGAAAAGAGAGGGCACAAGAGAGTGCCAGTTTTTAGGCCAGGAAAACAGTGGGTGATGATGACTTTAACTACAGGGAAGGTGGTGGGATAAATGGAAGCACTGGAAAGCAGGACTCAACAGTTCAGGCTGAGGTATGTTATGCTTAAGAAGAAGCCAAAGCAAGACCACTTGAACTTTTAAATGGAAAATATGTATGTGAATATTATGAGAAACACTTGATGAAGGAAAAAGTTGAAAGAAGGGGTGTGGTGGACTGAAATTTAATTTTCCAGATTCAATCAGGATTTGTTTTCTTTTCTTTCTTTTTTTTTTTTTATGACTTCCAGATTTCTGAGTTTTGGGTGATGAAAAGTAACAAGGAGAACAATCTCAACAGAGGTTATAATTTACTGAATACTTATCAAAGACTAGGCAAATGGCCTTGCACTTTATTTATATATATATCATCTCTAATAATAACAACATCACTTTAATTCATAAATGGCCAGCCCATTTAAAGGCAAGTATTTCTAAATCCTAAGACCGTTCCCTTTTCACACATCACCCTGTTTATCAGAGTATGGGATGTGGCAATTTGTGTCCAAGTGAAGTAAAAAGTCACCAGAGTGAAGTGATAGGTCAAAGAAGATGAGCAGGCCATCCAGGTGGACCACTGGATGCAATGAAAACCACTGTGGAATGAGACAGTGTGTAGATTCTTGGCTCAAATGATTGTCTGATGAGGGGAGAGTTCATCCAGTCCTGGACCATGTCCACTCACCTTCAGATCTATAGTAAGTACAGTATTCTGTGTATCTCAAGAGGTTAAAAAAAAAAAAGGCATCTGGGCACAAAAAAGACCCAATTCTAGGTGAGGCAAAGAGTTCAGCAAAGTAGTCCTATTCTTCAACAATGCTTATTCCTACTATTTAAGAAAATGACCATAGCTTTCTGGAACTTTTAACTCTAAACACTCCCAAGGACATACAAGTGACTCCTGGAGACATACACAGATATACACAAGAGACTCTTGACACCCCTCTTCATATTAAAAGAAGTAAAAAATGTGACCATCAGTGGTCAACCATTCTGGTGCACCAGCAAGTGAACCATAGCCAAAGCAAACCACAGCCACGCAAGTAGAGTAAGTATCAAAATTCCACCATTGAACAAAAAGGTAAGTGATGGGTAAACATAATATAATGATTCCATTTTAGAATGTTCAAGAGGAAAACGAAACAAAACACTATCCAATACATATATGGAGGAAAACTTAAAGAAATACTAGCTGATGAATGAGAAAAATATCAGGAAAATGGTTGTATGAGGAAGAGGGGCTAAAGGGGTTGGTAGTGGTCTACAAAAGGCTCCAACGCTGCCATGTTCTAGTCCTATCAGGGTGATGGAAACAGGAGTGACATGTTGTTCTTAGGACTTAAAGGGCACCATATGTTTAAACCTGCATCTTCATATGCAAAACATGACTTTACAATGAACAAGAATCATTGGACAGTTATATGTAATCTTCTTCTAGTTAAGTCTGCTCTCCTTTTTGTTGTTGTTGTTGTTGTTAAATCTGTGGATTGCAAAGTATCAAGGGATCATGATCACTACTGAAACTCCATGATAGCCATGAAACTAATTCAAACAGATTAAAGTGCCTTGATGAAAAGGGTCAAGATTATCCATCTTTCTCTCCACCCATCCACTTAACCATCTGTTCATTTATGTATCTATCATCCATGGGGCTATCAATAGTGGTAAACTCTATGGAGTGGTAAAAATGAGCAAATTTTAATAATTGCTGAGTCTAGGTGAGAATATAGATTTCAAAATTATTAGTTTTCAAATATTCATTTTCAAAATAAAACTTGAAAAAAATCACAGAATATTGTGCCCCAAACCTTAAGTAGTACCTTTGGGGTATAAAGCTCAAAATCTTGACTTTTATGATAGTCCTAGATGATCCTATAATCAGGAACATTTACAACTGATATAAAGAAAACTAACAGATCATACCAGGCTGAAATTAGAAATCCAAATCTGATTTAAGTGATTGAATAACAACTTGAAAAGGTAGATTGATCAGGGCTGGGGGTGTAGCTCAGGGACAGAGGCTTGCCCAGCATGCTTGAGGTCCTGAGTTTCATACCCAGCAGCACAAACAAATAAATAAGGAAATCTGTAAAACTTGAATATCTATAACATTTTAAAAATCAACTAACATCAATGAATTGAAGTCAAGGAAATGGCATAATTCCTCACAAGCTACAGGTGCTTGAAGGGCTGTTTACCTCCTCTGTCCTTTGGGCTACTAGTTATAAACTCACAGATCTAAGAAACACAACCAAACCCAAGCATAAAAACATAAGAAGGGGGCTGGGGTTGTGGCTCAGCGGTAGAGTGCTCGTCTAGCATGTGCAAGGCCCTGGGTTCAATCCTCAGTGCCACATAAAAATAAAAAAATAAATAAAGGCATTATATCCAATTACACTAAAAAAAATAAAAAAAATAGGAAGTTGGGGACTTACATCAAAATATATCATAGACAACTTGTCTAAAAGTTAATAATGGAGAAAAACTTAAATCTAAAAGCCTGTTTTGTATTTTGGACTACTACTTGTGTTTTTCTTTTCACCACCCTTACTTTTCATCCATTTCTTATACAATTTTACAACAATTTTAGTCAAAATGTTTTGTGAAGCAGGACAACTTCTAGCTGGGCAAAGCTAGAATGCAATGACCTTCATACTCCCTTAACTTCTATGGAAATACTAGGTAATCAGTGAAAAATAAATCAGAAAAATGGTTGTATGAGGAAGAGGGGCTAAAGGGATAAATGGTGGTCTAACCTCACAGGTTGAAGAGATGACTTTTGGCATACTAGATGGAAACTGGTCTAGAAAAATTGAGCCATGCCTCTCTAACAGGTCAGTGTTACAAGGTCCAGACAACTTTTAGTTACAAAGACCTTGGCATTTGGGGTATGCATGGTTCACGCTGGGGAAGCTATACTAACTGGAACATGAGGCAAAGGGAAGGAGTCATGAGATGGAGAGGACCAGGTTGGTGAAACTGGGTTCTGCTGACTTGCACCACAACCTTGATATCTCATACAACATCCTCTAGCAAGGGAGGGTTTGCGTGAATATAACTTTTCTGCAACATTGCAGCTGTCATATGCTCACTCTTGAATTTCACTTCTGTGTCATGGAGCACAAAGCTACAGAGTCCACACCAGGGATATTTGAAACTTTGATCATAAAACCAGAGTGTTCAGCTCTTTCCTGTTAGTATCAGTAGGGATCTATTATCTGTCTTTTCCTCTGGGCAGGAAAAGTTATGGGCTAGTGAAAATCTCTAGGCACAAGGCTTGGAACCTGCACATGCATTCTAAAACCTGGGGTCTTACCTGTCTCCAATGCCCCCATCCCTGAGAAGAAAAGAAAGAGCAAGAGGCCATCTATGGACAGCTCCTTAGCTGTTTTAGAAAAATAGCTAGTCCCTGCACAGTAGTATACCAAGTGCTACCATCTCCCATCTTTCTCTTTTCTCCTTCCATCCTTTGGACTGACTGACATCCTTCAGAGATTTTATTCCCCTCTTCAGTGTACCTGGAGGTGAGCAGAAGATTGCATGGCTGTTACAGGGTGTACGCCAGCACTTGTCAGGCAATATGGACAGTGGTCTTAGTGTGGGTTCAAGTCCCAGGTCTCTTCCTAAGAGCCAAGTGACCATGATGACCAGTCTGTTCTTGGGTTATTCTGTGTATCATGAGCATGTGGCAACTAGACCAACCTCACAGAACTGCTATGAAGACTAAAATAATTTCACATAGATGGGACTTAAAAGAGTGGTCACATGGCAATGCCTCATTTGCATGGTTACTATTATTTCAATAGTAAAATATCCCCACTGATGGAGAGAACAAAAATAAATGTCTATATGCAAAAACAGTGAATGGCCATTTAGCCTTCCAACCTGTATTACTAATTATCCACATGTAATACTTTCTGTGGGATCTTGAGCAGACACCAGCTTCTCCCTCCAGTGCTAAGGTTCTAGAAGATGCACTATCATAAACACCCCTTATAATGAATTTCAAAGTCAAAAGAACTGGGAGAAAGAAAATGTAAAACATTGCTAAAGGGCTTTTTCCTATTTGTATGTAAACAAAAGACAAATTAGA